ACTTATCCTACTGAGCCATCCATCTCCTTGGCCCCTATATATCTTTTTTTTTTTTTGCCCCTATATATCTTACTGTAACAAAGACAATATTAAAATACACTGACAAGCTCTTTGTATCCTGTTCTGAACATAACTGAACATGTATCATCCCCAAATAAAACTGAAAATGTACAATAATATAGATCAAGTAGAAAACAGGATATAGGAGATATGAATATCAATAAACTTGATTTAAGAAATTTGAATAATGTAATTAATAAATTTGATTTAATAAACATGTATAGAACTTGAATCCCCCAAAACAGAGCTACTGTTCTTTGAAAAAACCTAAAGAACATTTATGAAAGTTGATTGTTAAAAAATCATTAAAATTTAAAAAGTTGATGGGGCTGGGGAGATGGCTCAGTGGTCTAAAGCACCTACTTAGAACAAGCTTAGCAGAGCACAGGGACCGCAGTTCAATCCCCCAGCACCACATACCAGCCAGCCCCACCCCCTGGTGGGCTGAGCTGGCCCCCCCCCAAATTAAAAAAATAAAATAAAAAAAAAATTAAAGTTGAAAATAAAATGATGCTATTGGCCTACACTTCAGATAAAACTGCTTAATGACACTCACAGCAGCGATAGAGGGCTTCTTTCCATCACCAGCAGGAGGATGAGTGACATCTGCTCCCAAAAATATCACTGGTTGCTGGAACACAGAAGGTCTTAAACACATGTTAAAGCGGGTTAGATCATCTATTTATCTGTTTCACACAACTGCAACACAACTCCAAGTCACTGACAGCTGAAGGAAGTCCTTTCCAGGCAGCTTCATAGGCCTGGGCTACCGACTGCTTCACCCTCTTAAATCAGTCAGTAAAGTAACAGCTGTCACAGCAGGTCTGTCCAATGTCTTGCTCAGAGCAGTTTTTTTTTTTGTCTTCAGAATGATGCTAGCAGTTGCAAAGGGCAACTAATATTATTGTTCCCTATAATAGGATCAAAATAATAAAACCTTCTCATACTCATTTACTTTCCTTATGTGTATGGTGCTGGGCACTGAACCCAGGGCTCCATGCATGCTAGCCAAGTGTTCTACCCCTGAACTACACCCACAACCCTAATCTACCTATTTTTAAAAATCTTACATTTTGTGCCTATGTTACTTCCCCCAGAGAAAAAGGATCATTCAACTTTGTATTAAAAAGGACTTGGGGAGTATACTATTTTCTATCTCCTGGTCAAAAATATAAATTTTACCCATATATGTATACAGTAAGATCCTATCTCTAAAATCATCATCATCACCATCACCACCACCACCACCACCACCACCACCACCACCACCACCATCATCATCATCATCATCATCATCATCATCATCATCATCATCATCATATCCTCTTCCTCCTTCTCCTCCTCCTCCTCCCCCTCATCATCTTGCTATATAGTTTAGGTTGGCCTTGAACTCCCTACATAGCTCAGGCTGGCCTGGAACATGCAGTAGTCCTACTTCAGCCTCCTGCGTGCTGGGACTACAGATGTGTACCACCATGCCCAGCTCTAACACAGGTTTTATGGTAGTTAAATACAGTTACAGGTACAAAAACGAAGATACGAAAAGTAGTAATTGTTTCTGTAAGTGAATAGCTTACCTTTGATGAGGTACAAGAATATTATTGATCCCTCCGAGTTTAACATTTATCTTTAGGCACAAATTTGAGAGAGTTTGAGGAGATGTTTTTATTACATTCTTGACTTGAACACACTGGGTAGCCATACCCAAAAGTGTATCTCCTACACGTTTTACCTCTGCTAAAGAACAAATGCAAATACCTCTAGTCAGAAAAAAGAGCTGAAAGTAAATTGACTTAATAGAAATAAAGGTCTTCTTTCTATATGTCTCTTGAAACACATCACTGTATTACAGGACATCCAAAATAATACCAATACTAAAGTAATGCTATTGAAATTAAAAGTACACTCTATTGAAAATTAGCTTACATATTTAGCAGTAAGTTTTTTCAACTTTCATAATCATAAATAGTATAATCACAACTGAAAAAACAATAAAGATGAAGATACATATATAATCCTTTGTTATAATTTTAGCGTGCTCTTTTCCAGTAATTTTCTCCAGCATTTGGCACTGGAGATTCAACCCAGGCCCTCACACATGTTAGGGAAGCACTCTAGCAATGAGCTATGCTATTTTGAAAAAGGACCTTGTAAACTTGTTGCCCCTACGCCAGTGTGCCTGGATCACTTATGTTATTTTAATGCACTTCTATCATAGTCACAATGTCATTATCACTTTCAGTCCTGTTCTCCAGCCCTTATTTCAACAATGCAGAGGTCACTTGGCACATGGTCCACACCTGTACTACCAGAACTCTGAGAAGCTGAAAGGCTTGGGCAACTTTGGGAGACCCTGTCTCAAATAAAAAATAAAAATAAGACCCAGCCTGATAGCTCAGTGGATTGAAGCACCTGCTTAGGCAGACACAGGGACCAGGGTTTGATCCCTGGCATGCTGCGTCAGCCCCACCCCAGGGCGTGTAGAGACAGTGCCTGAGACTAGATGTGGTGGGGTGCCCCTGTAATCCCAGCATTTGGGAGGCTGACAACAGGAGGATCACTACAAGTCGAGCTGAGTAGTGAGACCTTGTACACCCTGTACTAAGTATATAAAAAAGAAAACAAATTAAAAATTTAGACTGAAGATATATATAGCTCAGTGTGACGGCTCAGGATTTAATTCTCCCTTTTTAAAAAAATGTATTTGGTACAGGGTCTCACTATGCAGCTCAACTCATAGTGATTCTCTCCTGTTTTCAGCCTCCCCAGTGCTGGGATTATAGGCACATGCCATGATGCCTGGTCTTGGTGGCTGGCAGAGTGCCTGGTGGCGGGGCCGGCACAGCATGTGGTACCAGGTATTGAACCCCAGTCCCTGCAATTGCCTAAGCAGGCACTTAGTCTGCTGAGCAATCTCGCTGGCCCTAATACTGAAAACATAAATAAAAGTAGCAGAGGATTATAGTGTAAATAATAAGAGGCTCCCTCCCTTTTCTTCTTCCAGAAGGAAATCTATGTTTAGCTCTGCTGTAAAGACTTTAACATACATAACATCTTATATATAAAAACACACTGGCAAACACTTTAAAATGAAAACAGAGCATACAACACATTCCGTTTTGCAACTTGTCATTTTCAATTAATACAATATAGTTCTCAATCTCTCTATCTATCTATCTATCTATCTATCTATCTATCTATCTCACCAGCAGTTATTTTGCTTTCAAGTGTCACAATATATACCTGATATACCCTGATATATTTTTAGGTTCCAGGTTTTCAGTATTTCAAATGATGCTATGAATACTAGGCATTATAAAATTTACATATATTTGCTAATTTAGTAGCATTAAATGTTTCCTTTTATTGATTTGTACTTGCTTTAACTACTAGAGAAAGTAAACATTTTTTTCATGTGTTATTTTGCTTTACTTGAGACATTTTGGTTTATATTCTCATTATGAATGTAATATTTTTCTATTGTTGATCCAGTCTATATGAATATTTTAACTATTGTTTATTGTTTCCATTTGCCATAAATACTATTTTCATTCTTTTATAGTTTTAATTTTAGTACATTTGACTCAAAAATCTATTTTTATGCAGTCAAATTATCAATTTTCCTTTGTGATTTTGATATCATTTCTAAAACTAGATTATTTTACTCTAGTAATTTGAAAATTAGACTTTCTTCATGTGTTTCATGATTCAGTAACTGTTATTTAACTTATTAACCTCATAAAACTTCACAATGGTAACTCAGTTCATGAACCCCATTTTCTTCACAACTCTAGTCACAAACTGAACTGGACGAGAACTAGATCAAATTTCTCCATAAGGTCAACACTGACCCTAACCAATGAATTTGATTTCAAATTTTTTTTTTCAAAAATTTTTTTTTCCAGCACCAAGGATCAAATTCAGGACCTTTTATGCTTGTCTGTCAGGTGCTTATGCCACTGAGCTATATCCGTGGCCCTAGGTATTTCAGTTTTATCAGTGATGAAATAAAAAAAAAGCTGAGTATGGCTAACTGAGCCACATCACAGACAGTACAATTGGCAATAACCCAAATATTTTACAATAAAGTCTAACTCCAGAGCCTATGTTTTGAGACGGTCTTATGTTGCCCAGCTTGGTCTGAAACTCCTTTTTTTTTTTTTTAAATATATATATTTTTTTTATTTTCTTAAGTTTATGGTCTGAAACTCTTGAGCTCAAGTGATTCTCTTCCCTCAGTCTCTCAAGTATGTATGATTACTAATGTATGTCACTATGCCCATTTCAGCTACTGAAAATTTTTTTCAGTGTTTCTTTCTGAACTGTTTAGTTTACTGGCTTAAAAAATAAGAGCCAGGTGTGGTAGCTCATGCCTGTAATCTCAGCACTCAGGAGGTTGAAGCAGGTGATCTTAATGAATCTGAGGCCAGCCCAAACTACACAGTGAAATGCTGTTTTAAAAAAACCAAACCAAACCAAAACCAGTCACTTAAGAAAACATGGTTTTAATTTATGCAGTATAAAATGTGTTTTGGTTTTGGAAAGTTTCAGGATATATAATCCTAAAACAAGTAGTAAGCACTTGTGGAAACACTGAAGTTTTCTGGTATATTTTTTGAGGTACTAGAGATCTAAGTCAGGCCTTATGAATGCCAAGCAAGGACTACACCACTAACCTACCTCCACTCCTACCCCAGCCCAATACTCAAAAATACAGTTTTAAGATATCCTTACCACAAAGACCCGAGTTCAATACCTGGTTCTGGCAAAAAACTAAAAAAACATGTAAGATATCCTTACCATATACTGGTGTTTTCCCTGGCAGGATGACAATAATGAGCTGTAGCCCAGAATATGTGTTCTTGAGATGCCGAAACATGGGCTCTACACTGTCTGCTCCCTGTGCATATTTGCAGAAACATGGCTGGCCCTGGATGGGCATTCCTGCATCCTTGGAGATTTTACGCAGCTGGTCCGTGAACCCCCTAGGAGAAATCTTTAGATATAAAAGCTTTATCTAGGCCTGGAGATGTAGATCAGCACTAGAAGGCTTGTTTAACATGCATGAGACAATGGGTTTAATTCCCAGTTATTTCAAAACAAACAAAAACAACCCCAAGCCTTTATGTAATCATCAATAAATACAAATTAGTAAAGGAAAGTTTAAGAAAGGAATGAAGGATGCAACAAAAATCTGTGTATGGCCAGGGATGCAGCTCAGCAGAACAGCATCTGTCTGGCAAGTGCAAGGTCCTGAATTCGATACCTGGTACAAACAAACAAACAAACAAACAAACAAACACCACAAACCTGTGTACCTCATACAGATGACAGACACTAAGGACAGTGACAGTAATATTCTGGAATAGCTCTTCTCTACCTTTGGAGCAGTGTATTTTAAGACTAGTACATGCCTGAGCCATGGGTAGCACCAAACGCCTTTTCAGCAAAACTAACACAAATATTTTTTCTTTCACAATTTCATGGACTAAAAAAATCATTATTATAGATCTTAGCAACCTTAAGGGTTTTTTTCTTTCATTAAGTTGAGAGCATTTACCTTTTAAATTAACGGAAGCATATGAAGGTTTCTCTTTGGCATATCCAAACTGCCAGTATAATTATTCTCACACTTTGGATGCATTATTCAGTGTAACAAGGGTTATTTTAGAAAGCAGTTTCTGTAGTATAGTGGTTACCACATTTACCTCACAAGGGTTACTTGAACATAAGTACTATGATACCTTGACAACTGATCTAAGCTAGACTGCTAATAAGATACTCCTGGGAGGGTATCACTTATGACAAGGGCCCACTGGACAAGATGATTCAAATCCCAGGCAGGACGTAATGGGACAGTGTAGGACAGCGCAAATTTTATCACACTATTCAGAATGGCAGATGATTTAAAACTTTGAAGTTGAATTTTCTAATATTTGGATTACACTTGACCATTGATTACTAAAATTATACAAAGTGAAACCATAAATAAGGTGGAGGGAGCCATGGTGTTTTGCAAACTAAAACAGTTATAGGACATTTTGTTGTTTATAAGGGGCATTAGGAATACAGTAGCTGTTGGGGCTGGTGAGATGGCTCAGTGGTCTAAAGCACCTACTTAGAACAAGCTTAGCAAGGCACAGGGACCCCGGTTCAATCCCCCAGCACCACATGCCAGCCAGCCCCGACCCCTGGTGGGCTGAGCTGCCCCCCCCATAAATAAATAAATAAATTTTTTTTTTTAAAAAAGGAATACAGTAGCTGATTAAGTGCTGAGGTGTAGAGTCAGCAGAGAGTTTCAATCCCAGTTCTGCTTTCTAGCTATCAAACTTTATTTTTCAAAGGGTCATGCTATGTACCTGAAGCTGGATTCAAACTCATGATGCCCACTCTCCAGGGTGCTGGGATTACAGGTATGTGGCACCACATCTGCCTTAGTGATATTGTCATTTTGTGCATAAAATGACAAGCACAAAACAAAATATTGACAGACTGATAAAGGAACAAGGCACTCTCAGTGAAGAGACAGAGGACTTGAAATAGGAAATGGGCCAGAAAAATAGTAGTAAGGCATTTTAATTTCTTTATCCAGAATATATGAAAATGGAGTCAAAGAGCCAAGTGAAAGGATACTGAATGTCACTTGCTTTGAATGTCATTCTTTGTCACAGATGCATAAATGTTTTTTTTTTTTTTTTCGTTTTCGCATTTTTAATTAAAAGTTACACACAGGAGGACTTTATTCCTGCATCTTCTCAATCATTTCTTCCTTGTATTTGCCCTTTTCCTTTCCTACTTGGCGAGACTTGGCTTTCCGTTCCAGGATCTTTTTGCGGTCTTTGTCCAGTTTTAGCCTGGTGATAACCACCTTACTGGGGTGAATGCCCACGTGGACAGTTGTGCCATTTGCCTTTTCCCGCTGCACCCGTTCAATGTAGATGACATACTTCTTCCTGTAAACCTGGACTACTTTGCCAATCTGTTGACCTTTATAGTGTCCTCGCACAACCTGAACTTCATCATCCTTTCGGATGGGCATAGAGCGAACATTGTATTTTTGTCTCAGCTCTTTGGAAAGAGGAGAAGACATAATTTTCCTGCGAATGTGGGAAGGCGCATTGAAATGCCTTTTACGGTTTTTGCTTCGGTCTGAAGTCACAAAAGGATTAAACTTCATTTTGGCCGCTGCAACTCCAGCGATGGCCGCAAAAGGGAAGAGAACTACGCGTTGCTTCCAGTTCTCGCATAAATGTTTTAAAGCAAAGAAAGTCACAAGCAGAGCTGATCTTTCACAACAGCTCAACTCCTCAGACAAATGTGATAGCAAATGTTCTTGAGACTGTGGGAGTCTCAAAGGAGAGGAAACAGATCAAGAGAAGCCAAAAAAAAGAAAAGATAAAGAACCAGAAGCCAAGAGAAGAACCTCAAGAAGGTAGTCAACTGTATTTATTGCTGTATATGGGAAAACTAGTGGGTAAGATGAGACTATCATTTGAATTTTAAGTGTAAAGAGGCAGGAGATCTTCCAGGAACTACTGCTGGCAGAGCTCTAAACTATCAAGGCCGGAGAGCCAGGGAAAATCTGCAAGCCTGAGGGATAGACAGAATAAAAACTGCAGTCAGGTGCAGAGGTGCATGCCTGTGGTCTCAGCTACTGGAGAGGATGAAGCAGGATAATCATTTTTTTTTTTTTTTTTTTTTTTTTTTGGCAGAACTGGGGATTGAACTCAGACCCTTGCACTTGCTAGGGAAGTGCTTATTCCACTGAACCATCTCCCCGGCCCAAGATAATCATTTCAAAGCCAGAATACTACAAGTGTGTGCGCTCATGCACGTGTGGCGTCTGTCAGTCTGGTTTTTTGGTTTTTTTTTTTTTTTTTTGGACTTTTTTATTTTGAGACAGATCTAACCATATAGCTCAGACTGGCCTTAGGCTCTCAATTTTCCTGTCTCAGCCTCCTAAACACTGATACTACATGTGTATGCCACCGTACCTGGCTCAAGACCCCATATCCTTAAAAAACCAAACCACTTCCTCCCAAAAAACCCTAAATTTGTAGATTTTATTCTTTTTTTTCAGGGCAGGGACTGGTGGGCAGAGGTCTTGCTGTGTTGCCTAGCTGGCCTCTAACTAACCCTTAAGAGTAAGGAGATAATATTGACTCATATTCCCAAGTAGTGGGATAACAGGTACCTGATAAAAAACTAAAGAGTTCATTTTGGTTGTTTTGGTGGTACAGGGATGGAACCCAAGTCCTTTGCATCAGAGCTTTTTTTTTTTCATTTTATAGGGTTTTGCTAAATTGCCCAGGAGGGCTTGAGTTTTAATCTTGCCTTTGTCTCCTAGATGCTGGGATTATGGCATGCCATGCTTAATTAAAAACTGAAGATTAAAAAAATTATCTGACTGCTGTGCCAGCCCTGTTCCCGGGGCACGCTCAGATGGCAACTGAGACTGGGCATGGTGGTGCACACCTGTATTCCCAGCTCTTGGGAGGCTGTAAACAAGTGGATCATTACGAGTCTGACCCAGTAGTGAGACCTTGAACACCTTGTAGATCCTTCCCTAAAATTTAAAAAAAAAAAAAAAATAGAAAATTGTTGGGTGGGCCAGGGAGATAGCTTAGTGGAATAAGCACTTCCCTAGCAAGCGCAAGGGCCTGAGTTCAATCCCTGGTTCCTGCAAAAAAAAAAAAAAAAAAAGAAAATTGTTGAGGAAGTTAGAGGAAAGAATCTGAGGAAGGCCTGGAAATGGCAAACACTGGAATCAAAACTACGTATTGGCCATCAAAAGAGAATAATGCTGCCATTAAACCATATAAGCTGGTTTACTGGGATATCAAAAGGCATGAATCTATTTTTCTAAAACTAATGAATTTGGAAATTTTCATCTTATTACCAAAATAAAACATTTTTTAAACTTCAGTGGCAATGTGGAGACAATGTTTTTGGAATATGAGATGAATAATTTAAAAGCTATACAAAGCCTGTGATCCCAGTGCTTATGAGGCTGAAGCAGGAAGATCACCATGAGCTTGAGGGCAGCCTGTGCTACATAGTGAGTCAGGTCAGTCTGAACTACACAGTGAGATCTTGTCTCACCCAAACCAAAATGAAACCAAACCAAAACAAAAGAACTTCCCCACAAATCCCCCACCAAAAATAACCTCCCTCTCAAACCTAAGCACAAAAAGGTCTCCAAAGCAAAGCAACAATATGTCTTACTTTAATATTTCTTCTCTGCACTGTCTCTGTGTGGCAAAACAAGCAATGGCCCACATTTTGATTTCAACTCCTGTGTGGAACTGTTTTCCACGCATGTCCCATACCCCATGGCTTGGTGTTGCTACTGTTCGGTTCTATGGATGGAGAAAGGAAAAATAATATAAGAAAGAAATAACAAAGAATTAGCAATATATTTCAATGAGTTGAAAACCAGTATTTCAAGTTGCTAAACTGATATATTTCTGATAGTCTACACAGAATTGGCTGTCTTAAGCCAATGTGTCTGTCTGTCTGTCTGTCTGTCTGTCTGTCTGTCTGTCTGTCTATGCCAGGTAGGCACTTAAGTCACTGAACTATTTCCCTGGCCCTTAAGCCAATATTATTTATATACATTTTTTTTTTTTTTTTTTGAGACAGGGTCTCACTCTGTAATTCAGGCTGGCCTTGAACTCACTACATAGCCCAGGCTGGCCTCAGACTTGCAACACTCCTGTCTCAGTCTCCTGAGTGCTGAGATTACAGGTGTGGACCACCATACTTGGGTACATTTTTAACATAAAAAAGTTTCTGAACTCAAGCAAAGGCACTCACCTTGAAATAGGAAAACACATTACTGGAGCAAAAAAACACTTTCTAAATTCTAGACTTAGTGAGGGTGTCCTCTCCATCCTCTTAAACTACACGTACATGATTAAAACATGATCAAAAGCCCTTACCCGTCCTCCATACTGGAGCATAGGTGCTGGAAGGACGCGTCCGGTGACATGGGCCATTTCATCCCGAACTTTAAATTGAAACTCCTGAACAAATGGATCCGTTTCATAATTTGCACTTCTTACCTAACAACAGGAAAGTCGGCAGTTACTCTCAAAATTTCCCTAGATCCACTGTTTTTTTTCTTTTGGTCTTTTTTTTATTTATTATTTTTTATGTATTTAGTACAGGGTCTACAGGGTCTCACTATACAGATTGGACTCATAGTGATCCTCCTGTTTTCAACCTCTCAAGCACTGGGATTACAGGTGCACGCCACCACACATAGTCTCAATTGCTGTCTCAGTGCGCCTCAGGGGCGGGGCCAGCATGGCATGCAGGAGATGAACCCTGGTCCCTGCAGATTTGTTTCAGAACTTGATTCTGCTGGGCTATCTGGCTGGCCCCTTTTTTTTGGTCTTTTAGAGACAGAATCTCACTATGCAGTGCAGGCTGACCTTGGACTCACTCTGTAGTCCAGGCTAGCCTTACATTCACAGCAATTCCCCTGCCTCAGCCTCCCAAGTGCTGGGATTACAGGGGTGCACCACCATGCCCAGTTCACTGTCCTCATTAAACTTTTTTCTTTTACTATGTCAAATATGTTTAGTAATAGGTCTAATCAATGATAACCTAAGTATAGAGCCAACAGTCTTAACCTGGGGATAATACATCATGAGGGGACTACAGGAAGCCTGAGAACCTCTTGGTATAAATGCATGTATTAAGGTAATAAAATTTTATGTAAAATTTGAAAGGAAACATTAAAATCCATCTCTTTTTTGTTTGGAATTGAACTTAGGACCTCACGCTTGCTAGGCAGGTGCCATGCCACTGGGCTATATCCTAATGCTTGCTTTTTCTTTTTCTCCTCCCCTCCACCGCCTTTTGATGCTAGGGCTCAAACTGAGCGCTTTGAACATAGTAGACAGCGTTCTCCACTGAGCTACATCTCTGGCTTCTAACACTGTTTTCATAATTAAACTACTTGTTTTACAACTAATATACATTTACTTCATTATTTTCAGACCAACAGTACCATATTGTCATATAAAATTTGTCTAATGGGGCCAGGGAGATAGCTCAGTAGAATAAGCGCTTGCCTGGCAAGCACAAAGGCCTGAGTTCAGTCCCCGGTTCCACAAAAAAAAAAAAAAAAAAGTCTAATCGGACACACTGGAAATAGACAAGAAAGCAAGTATGAGTTGACTTATAGTTTATAAATTTCATATAATGCATCCATACATAAAATCAAAGAAAGAATTTAATGTTATTCAATGTTGTATTCATGCTTCTAGCATTAAGAGCTGATTTTCAAAATATTTGTTCTCAGGGTGAAGGTCAAACAAATTTACAAAAAAGAAGGCAGTGTTCATATCTGCATAAAAATCTAATTTAAAAACATGTAATCTATAGAAGGGCCAGCCAATAGCTCAGCGGATTAAAGTGCCTGGTTAGGCAGATGCAGGGGTTGGGCCTGGTCTGCCACTGCCAGGTGCACAGAGTCACAAGTGAGACAGGGCCTGGTGGCGCGCACCTGTAATCCCAGCACTTGGAAGGCTGAAAAACAGGAGGATCACTACAAGTCCGATCTGTGTTGTGAAACCCTGTAGGCTCTGTACTAAACATATAAAAAAATAAAAAAATAAAAATAAAAATAAAAACATGTAATCGATATAAACGGGAAAGTAGGAAAAGTCATTTTATTTTCCTTTTTTTGTTGTTGTTTTAAGGAAAAATCATTTCCTAATGATTCTCTTTCTTTAAGCCTAACTGCCATATACTCCTGCTGCATATTCGTATTGTTCCATGGCAAACATATGAAGAATAACAATTATTATTTGAGAAGACTTCTTGGTGATAAGCTTGGTACTAAGTGCTCAGTAATTAATTTTTGCAATTATCTTAGGGCCATAAAGGTAGATCTTCTTATAACCTGCATTTTACAGAGGATAAAACTGAAGCTTAGTAAAATCAAAAGACATGTTGCCACTATAATGATAATACTAATAGTAAGCGGAGAAGCAAAACTTCAAACTCAAGGGTGTTAGCCTCATCCATTCTTTGAAGAATTATACAGTACTGTCAGTCTGAGTAGTTAAGCTATGATAATCAATTAGAACTGCTAATTATTGAGATTTTATAGGAACAGATGTCAGTGTCTCTTAAAGGTGTTGGTAATACTTTTAAACATTATTATGGTAGAAATAGAGAAAAATCAGGGTGAGAACCTATCTATATTTTCCTAATTAAAAACATAATAACTTTCATTCATTCTTTACAAAATTATAAGGAAAATGAGGTCTTTTTAAATAACTCATTTATAAAATGAAAGAGCTAGTTCTACAATCTTTTCTCAATAATTTTGAAAATTACTTCTGGGGCCCCGGGAGATAGCTCAGTGGAATAAGTGCTTCCCTGGCAAGCGCAAGGGCCTGAGTTCAATCCCCGCTTCCACAAAAAAAAAAAAAAAAAAAAAAAAAAAAAAAAAAAAAAAAAAAAAGGAAAATTACTCCTGAAAGTGTTACTAAACTATTTGGGGGGATACTTACTATTTTATAATTTTCCCTTACTGAGGCAGTATAGTATTTAAGAGAGTGAGATAAGATCCAAGTGTCCCTTTATTTTCTTTTTTCTTTTTTTTTTTTTTGTCCCTTTATTTTCAATGTTTGCTATTTCACTAGTATTTTCAAATAAAAAAAATAGGGGGGTGGGCTGGGGAGATGGCTCAGTAAAATAAGTTTGCCTGGCAACCGCAAGGGCCTGAGTTCAATCCCTGGCTCCGCCAAAAAAATAAAATAAATTAAAACGAAAGAAAGAAAGACAAGGAAAAAAAAAAGAAAAGGGGCCTGGGAATGTAGTCAGGTGACAGATGACTAGCATGCATGAGGTACTGGGTTCAACACCCAGTACTAAATTGAAAAAGAGAATGATAACACTTATATTTTTATTGTGTATAATATATTTTTAAGTATATGTACCACAGTGGAATGAGACCATTGCTTTTATCAAGTAGCACTGGTAACTTCCACAACGAGGTTATTTAGACTGTACGCTGCCAGTCTGATATGAGACCTAAACAGTCTGAGACAAAGTATTAAGACTTTCAATATATCTAGTCATAATACATTTGAGTTTTTCTCTTCTCCCACCTCTTGTTCAGTAAAAGGTTCCAGTTCACTAATTTAAATAATTAAGTTTTTGACAGAAGCTATTCTCTGGATCTAGTTAGAGTCTAGGGTTAAGTTAGGACTCCATCAGTGGAATAAGCGCTTCCCTGACAAGCGCAAGGGCCTGAGTTCAATCCCCATTTTCGCTCCCCAACCCCCAAAACATGTTAGAACTCCATCTTCTTCATATAACACTTACCAACCCCCCCAAATCCTAAAAAAACTAAACAAAGCACTGCTAGATTAGATTATTACATCCCCTTTCAACTGTGACGGTCTGTCTGCCAGGCATGGTGGTGCACACCTATAATCCTAGCTAGCACTCAGGAGACTGAGGCAGTAGGA